GATAATAACAGCACTTCTCTCTCAGGGTTGCTGTAAGAATCAAATGATATAATATTTGTGAAGTGGTGGGCACACAATAGGCACTATATAGATGATTATTCCTTTCTCCATCCCCTTGCAAGCCAAATTTGTGCCAAGTGACAGGACTGAGCAGAAGAGACAGTTTTTCCCCAGGTTTCCAGAAAAATCCCAGAAAAGAGATGCCAAGAGATAATAAGCATGTTCCAGGTTACATCTGTATGGACATATACATTCATTCATATAGGCAGCACAGTGCAGTGGGTGGAGTGTTAGACTTGTAGTCAGCAAGACCTGGATTCAAATTCTGCTTCTATTTAATAAGTATCTATTGACTTAATAATAAAACTTAGTACTTTTTGATTGATACTAATTGTATGACCTTGGGCCAGTTAGTATGCCTCCTAGGACATATGTGTCTAGTCATAGATGGGTTGTTGTCTGCACTGGTGAAAAAGGGATCTGAGTTGATGAAGGCAGTTCTTCTGTGAGAACTCACAGATCTTTCCTATACAATCACACATATTCAGCTTTTCACCTGTGTCCCTAAAAGAATGGAAGGCTATAAACTTATGCCATCCAATATGGACTATGTCTATGTGAGGGGGCATGATTGAAGTCAACAGATGGCGCCCTTGACTAAGGCTTTTAGATTTCATTTAATCCCACTGAATTATCTGTAGTTTAAAAATGACTTCATGGTCCTGTAGAAGGTGGGTGATGGGGAAGAAGGTATGATCAAAAGGAGGGAGATGATTTTGGCTGGCAGAAACAGGCTGCATTACAGCAGGCAGCCTGCTTTCTTCCAATGCCTTGACATGACATGGAGCTAACTTTGAAGGATATGCCAGAATTCAAGATCTGAAAGATCCTATTAAAATAGAATTTTCTGGGTGATCACAACACTCAAAATTTTGAAAAACAGCTCTGAAAAATGTCAAGAGGACATTTGTTGTTGTTTTGTTTCATTTTCGATGACACCATCATTTAGAAGGATGGCAATCTGAGATGGTCGTGGGCATAAGTACACTGAAGAAATCACAGGTGTTTTGAAGTAGAATGGTAAAAGGCTGGCTGAAGCATGGCTGATGAAAAGACAGTCAAGTCATCACAGCCTAGGGCCAAGATTCTAGATGGGAATGGAGAGATTATGGAGAAGAATGCTAAGAGCTGAAAGGGGCCATGAGGCTAATATACAAAGCCTTCATCAAATCTTAGAAGCTCTCAAGAAAAGAGAGCTTCTCCAAAGTCATTTTCTTTTTGTCTGGGCCTCAATTTTCCCATCTGAATAAAAGGGTTAGAATAGATGATCTTTAAAAGAACCTAAGTTGTAACATTCTATGACCTGCTTTTAAAAAGCAAAAGGGGGCCACTAGGTGGTATAGTGAATAGAGTTCTGGCCTTGGAGTCAGGAGGACCTGAGTTCAAATCAAGCCTCAGACACTTAACACTTAGTAGCTGTGTGACCCTGGGCAAGTCACGTAACTCGATCACCTCACCAAAAAAAAAAAAAAAAGATGAGTAAAGGGTAGGGCAGTGGATAGAGAACTGGCCCTGGAGTCAGGAGGCCCTGAGTTCAAATTTGGCCTCAGACACTTCCTAGCTGTGTGACCCTGGGAAGGTCACTTAACCCTGACTGCCTCCAAAAGAAAAAAAAAAGTAAAGGGTAAAGCTGCAAACAAACAAGGTCAAGTGCTTTACCCCCGTTCTTACCTCCTACATAAATGGCAGGTATAAACAAGTAAATACCCAAATACCCACCTATCTTCCTGCTGGGTTTATTCAGCACAATGCCCTTCTGGAAAATGTACCTCAGACCCTGTTCATTACTACCACCAAGAGCTCACAAAAACAGGACTTTTATGGTTCACAAAGCCCTCTCCTCACCAAGCCTGTGAGCTGGATATTGATTTTTCTAATAAATATAAAGAGATAAAATAATAAAGATATAGATAAATTAGAGAGACACAGAGAGAGAGAGAGAAAGAGAGAGAGTAGTATCTGAACTGGGGCTCAAACCCCGGAATTTTGTCTCCTAGTCCAGTACTTATCCACCAGTACACAAAGCAAATCAATTCTCCAATCTCCTTCCCACCTTAAGGATTCTTTAAGCCTCATGAGGAAGCCAGGATACAGGGCAAGAATGTGCTGGTAAATGTTTAACAACTGGCTCTCCAAAAATGTAATGCAACACACTTAAAAGTTTAATCTGCCTTATTAACATTTTCTCATCCCTTTCTTAAATCTAGACAACCAACAACAATAAATCAAGCCCTGATGTGTAGTGTTTGCCAATTCCCAAAGTGTAAATGCTCACACTGAAAATTTGACAATTGGCTTGCTGTGCTGGTAAGAGCTGGCTCCAGCACATTCCTGGACAGAGTGAAGCTGGGGTGGTCAAGATTGAGGAAAAACCAAACTCTGGCCCAATTCTCTTTTCTGGTATTTCCCAGTCTATAAAATTCAATTTTTTTGTATATACAAACTATTCCCCTATCTTTGGGCTGAGGATGATCATTGAGAAGGCAGCCTGGTGTAATGGTAAAAATGCTGGACTTGAAATTAAGAGATTTCAGGTCTCAAGAACCTAGAACCTGAGAGTTCAAATTCCACTTCAGACAAGCAGATTAGCTGTATGATAACAGCAAGCAACTTCAGTCTCTACAATTTGAATGTGCAAAACTGCCCTTCCTGACTTGAATCCTGGAGAGGAAGAGGCAATTCCCTTCCTGGACACTGATCAGGAAGAATTCTGACACGGTAGACCTTTAATATCCATGTTTTCCACTCTCTTTTTGTGTCTAAGACTGGTGAGTCACTTGCTAGGAGGGGTGGGAGAAGGACAGCTTCCCTAATCCCCCACCCAGGCTGCCCAGTGGCCAGGAATACATGAGCACACTAGAGATCCTGGGTCCTTTGGTTGGAGCTGACCAGTACCAAGAGGAGGAGGTTCCAACAATGACTCGTAGTACTTCTTGGAGATGACCACTGGCAAAAGAATGAATTAAATTCCTGACCTGGCTTACTAGAAGAAATCTACCATGTTCCTCCCATTAGTTCTAACCATTCTTTACATCGTGACTAAGGGGAAAATATGCTTAATATGAATGTATAAGTAGAGCCTATATCAGATTGCACACCGTCTTGGGGGAGGGGGAGAAGAAGGAGAGGGAGAAAATTTAAAACTCAAAATTTTATGGAAGTGAATGTTAAAAACTAAAAGTAAATTAATTTGAAAAAATATCTACCATGAAGGGGAAAGCACAGAAGGGAAAAGTGGCTTATCGATTCAGGAATTAGTCCCACAAACAGCTTATGTTCTTACAATGTTTAAGCAGCCATCCCCCAAGAGAGTATAACAACAACTATGTTATAATTGTATATACATATGATCTCGTATGTGTAGTTATTAAGTTATTGAATCCTGTTTTATTTTTCTCTCAATGCCCACTCATTTTGTGTTTAGCATTTTTCTTTTGCATACAAGAAATAAACACTTATCCCACATTTGGCTCCTGTTGTAATCCCCTTTGGAGAGACCTTAAATATGACCCAAAACCTAAGCTTTAAATAAATTATTTTCTCAAGTATCAAGATTGGGTGTAAGGAGTCAGAGCAGGAGAAACAGCCTCTCCTTAGAGGCCAAACACCCTAGGCCTGAACCTAATCTGAACTTCTGTACGGGGGGGGGGGAACGGGGGGACCAAAGCAGAAGGGGCCTTTTAATGGAAAAGGAATAGGCACAATGCTTCTAAACCTTAGGCCTAGAAATGATGCTTATGGTTTGATTAGCAATTGTGACAAGTAAGGAAAACATGGGGTGGGGAGATCTGGAGAAAGATGCCCTTGGAGCATGAGGCCCCATTGTACCCACAGAGACAGACCTCAGGATGTCTTCAGGCAGGCTTCTGGGTAGGAGCTCACTCGAGGCTCAGGAAGCTTTTGGGATCCCATGGCCTTTGTTGCATTCACTCAGTGGGCAGAGTTTAGCCATTCCTAGTAGCCAACCAAGAAAGAGACCAACAGCTGGTAGCAGCAGTCCCTTCCCCAGTCTGCTCACCCCCAAGGGGAGACCATGATCCCTTTTTGTGAGATTTGTTGGAGTTCACAACTGCTGAACCCAGGACTGCTACTTAAACAGTCCCTAACACAACCACCATCCTGGCTGGCAAAACCAAAACCAACTGTCCCCATAATCCTAGAAACGTGAATGGTTTTAAGACCAAATGGAATTAGCTTTGGGCTACAAATGTAAATGAAACACACTCTTTGGATAAGGAAGGAGGTCAAGAAGGACTGCATACTAATATAGATAACCAAAGGCACAGGCAGGGTGAAGTAATCATCATTAATAATAGGTAGCTGACATTTACATAGTAATTTAAGATTTCTAAAGTACTTCATACCTACAATATTTCAGTTGACCCTCGACCAAGTGAGTTAACTATCATAGATAATATCCCTATTTTACAGATGAGGAAACTGAAGCCTCAGAGAGGTACAATGGTTTGCCTGTGGTCATACAACTAGTAAAGGTCAGAAACAAAATTCTGACACAGGTGTCTCTTACCTCCAGTTCCGGTGCTCTTTCCCACTGAAGAAGGCTGGATTGGTATCTGAGAGCCCACATTCAAATCCTTGTATTTCTGCAAACTACTTGTGTGACCTGGAACCCAAACTCCTCAATCCAAAAAAAAGGTATGGAACAGATCTGTCTGGTCCCTCCCAGTTCTGAATCCCACCATCATATCACATCAGATAAGGTCTGTCCCCAGAGGGGAGGAAAAAAAGTTGTTCCTCCCGTGAATTCTAAGCTCAACAAGGCCAAGATTAAGAGAGTATGAGTAGGGAGGACCAAGAACCAAGGGATGGGTAGGTTTCCTTCCCTGCACAGGTGATTATTCCTACAAGTAGAAGCCGTTTTCTGAGTGAAGAAAAGGAGTCTTTAGCACAGGTGCACCAGTAAGCCACTGACACAGGACTTAGAATAGGATCATTTTATTTAGTGTTCTCAGAGATTTCACTTCTTTAAAACAAAGTCAAAGAAATCCAAAGGTCCCAAAGTCACAATGCAGGACATATCAAACACAAACACAATGTAATCCAAAGACACCATGTGATCCTTCAACATTTTGTTTTCATTTCACAAACAACCCTACCGCAGACTGAGAAACCATACCCAAAGTGAGGTCTGGTAATAAATCCCCCATGACCTAGATTAGCTTCTCAGCTTAGTGCCCTGGAGGCAGCATCAACTTAATCAGTGACTGAGAAAATGAGTTAGATCCTCTATAACTTCAATATGCATCTTCCTACCGGCTAAGAATCATCAAGGACCTTCCTTCACAGTTCCGGAATTTTTGGATAGTTCCCACTGTTGGGACTGTCTCTTCCCCACTTCCCTACCTCCATTTTTATCTTTCATATTCTATCATTCTCTCTTTTTTCTCACCATCAGCCTGGGAAGGGTTTTTTTTCTTTTCCTCCCTTCTACTGTGTCCTGAAAGTACACCCAAATAAAATAGTAAACACAAGGGGAAAGCCCAGTTAAAACATCTAAGGTACCACACAGTGTAAGAAATTCTCTGGGCAGAGGTTTGATATTGTAGGGGTCTGACTCTCTAAATGAATTTGATGCTTAAAAGGCACTGGTTCCTTTCAGGAGGTAGTCAGGGCACTGTCAAACACAGCAGAGCTCCGGCCACTGAGATATGTAGAACACATCTCTGTCTAGAGACCAATTAGGCTGCCATTTAAAACACAGCTTGGAGGCAAGTCCCCATTCTTCTTCTGGTTTATTTAAAAGCCCCTGAGACCTGCCCAGAAACTGGCTACAATCAGTTTTTATAAATTTGCAGAACTCTGCTAATGGCTCAAAAAAAGTTAAGGCTTTTCCAGCATGTAAATTAAATCAGAAGAGATCCTCAGGAGATCTCCAAACTACTGCTTAGTGAGGTAAAGCTACAGAATGAGTTTTTTTCCCAGCAGTGCTGGGGAGTTAGAGGCACTTGAACCAAATATGCCTTTATTCTCCTTCTCAATCCCCAAGTAGCAGTTGGGCCCATTTCCCTCCTCTGAAGTTGTCTCACTTAAATACTAATTGTGCCTTTACGTACCTGAGGTCCTAGCAAGAAAGATTATCAAACCAATCATCTATCATGAGGAGTACTGAACATCTCCATACCAGCTGCTTCTAAAAAAAAAAAAGAAATCCTGCAAAACAAACTTGCCTCAAATTTTCTAGCACACTTGGGTCATCACAGTAAAAAATAAGTTTTATATAAAGTAAGAAACAAAATAAGGAACAAATATATATATATACATTTTCATAATTCAAAAGAAGATATAGATTTTTATGTGTGTGTATATAAATATATTTTGCATCACTACAAAACACAAGTTATCTGAAAAGAAGCTTCCAGTGGTCTCTGGTGTTGTAGAACATTAAATATAACAGTTTTAGGCAAATTCACTCATACTTAATAAAAAAAAAGCCATTTAGCTAAATGGAATTACAGTACCACCCTTCAGATTAAAGTGCTCTGATATAACAAATACTGCAGCAAAAGCAATCCTTAAAAAAAAGAGGAGAGATTTCCTTCTTGTTCACCAATCCAAGCAGTATGGACTCTGAACTTTGAGAAACAGAAGCAGCTTTACACTCAATCTATTCCCAGCTCAACAACCTTTACTACAGTCTCTCTCTCTCTCTCTCTCTCTCTCTGTCTCTACACACAAAAGGCCCACAAACAATATGCCATAGGAAGACATCAGAGCTGAGATGTGCAATACAAGAAATGTCCCAATGGCATCAATATTCACAAGAGCATAAATGACCTAGTTTTGTCCTTGGGTTATAAAAAATATTCTGTTTTTAAAATAACATAACTACGAATGCAGAAATGAATTCGTGTCTTGCTTTTCCCAATTCCTACCAGGAATTCCTGTTGTACTTTCCCCCTCTTTATCCCCTTGGTATGGAACCAAGAGAAAGGAGCAGCAGCAAACTGAAGCAGATGGGCAGATTATGTTGTATCAACCATCTGGGTCATTTCTGATTGCTCCTGGCTTTGTAAAATTATTACTAAATATGTTAAGGCTGTAACTTCCTCAACCACTTAGAAACGAGCCAGATTTCACTACAAGTGGGGCCAAGAAGCACTCTTACTCTGGAGCCCCTGAGACTGGTCTATATTTCCCATCCTCTAGGATTCAAATGGCATGCTCCACCATAAACCCCATTTTCTTAAGATAAGACTACTGAGGAAATTTGAGAATTGGGTGCAACCACCAGGGGAATTAAGGAAGTACATCCTTACAGAAGACACATAGGTCATGCAGACCATCAATATGCAATGTGGCAGAATGTTGGATTTTGAATTAAGATCTAGACTTTAATTCTGGTTCTTAATAGTTATGTGACTTTAGGGTTAGGATTAACCTGTCAATGTCTCCTCAGGGTTTCATCTGTCTCAATTTCCCCTCTATAATTATATAATCCTCCTGCCCAGGGGGAACCTGGTATCAAGATACCAGTGACTCTCACTGAGTCTCCCTGACCATATGCAAGGGAGTAAAGGGCAGCTGTGTTACCAGCTTCCCCCATTTTATCTCTTAATTTCATGGCCCGCAGTGAAAAGATCACATGGGCCTAGTCAAAGCACAGTAAGTAAGACCAGGAGTTTGGGTTCAGAAAAAAAAACAGCTCACTTAGCATACCCCCCAGGCACTTTAAAAAAGTAGTCCCTAAATGATCCTGGCCAAGGTTAAATGAATAACCAAAGGCAAACCCAAGAAGCAATATCAAAAATGTTAAAGTAGCAAAATTTAACATCTAAGGCCAGGAGAACTACACCTAAGCTAATAAAACTCAAGAAAATGAGTCCACTCTGTGCTATAAAGATTCACAGACAGACACTGGGATGAAAGGAAGGAAAAAAAATCCAAACATCAAAGTTAGAAAACCCTACAGCTAAAAATGCATGAATGGTTTCTGTGCCTTCTGAATCTCTGCCTCCTAGATTAGATCTTGTTACTATACCCCTAGTATGAATAAAATATTTATGATGCACTTAAAGGGAGAATGTCTTGAATAAAATTCTGGGAATGTACATTAAGAGATTCACTGTCATAATTAACCTGCCTTCAGTCAATGGAACAGACTCTCTTGCCAGAGTACTTGCAAGGAAGTTATTTGGTGATTCAGATTCAGATCCTACTTGCCGGTTGTCATACATACAGAAAGTCCATGACCTCAAAAAGGGAGGTGTAAACAAACTCACAAAAAATCGTTTCATTCCTTTATTGCCATGACTCACATCTTCCCTGCTTTATTCTTTAATTGCGCTGGAGAGCGGAGAATGTTGGGGGTCTCTTCCATGACTCTGACAAGCAAGTTATCAATGTAGTCCTCCAGCTCACGAACCTGAAACTCCTTCTTGCTTATTGTTTCTTTCTGTTTCAGGACCAGCTGGATCAGCTCGTCGTGGGTTAACTGAGTATAAGCGAATTCTGGATCAGATGGCTTGTATTTCTTTAGAATTGAAAAGAAAAAAAAAACCAGAAAGTCAAACTGGAAAATTTAAGTTATCAGTCAATAAGCATTTATGAAGTACTTACCATGTTCCAGGCACTGAGCTAAGTTCTGGAGTTACAAAGATGGGCAAAAAAATAAGGTCCCTGCCCTCAAGAAGCTCACAGTCCCAATGCAGGGAAAAACACATAAATAACTGTGTATATACAAGATATACAGTATAAATGGGAGTTAATCTCAGAGAAAAAGCAACTGATAAAGGACTTTAGCAGAAGGTAAGATTTGTGCCGAATCTTGAAAGACACCAGGAGGCAGAGGCCAAGAAAAGAGAGCATTACATGGAAAACGGAGCCAGTGAAAGAACACAGAATTTGAAGATGGAGTGTCTTGTGCATGGAACAACAGGGAGGCCAGCATCACTGGATCTCAGAAGTGGTAAAGGGAATAAAGTGGAAGAAGACTAGACAGTCGGGAAAGGGCCAGGTTATGAAGTCAGACAAAGATTTTATAATTTGATCCCAGAGGTTATAATTGTTGATAGAGCAGGAAGGTGAAATGCTCACACTCGAGCTTTAGAAGATCCCCTGGGCAACTTAGTGGAGGATGGACTGGAATGGGGAGAAACTTGAGGCAAGAGAACATACCAGAAGGCTATTACAGTAGCCTAGACATGAGGTGTTGAGGGACAGCACCAGCATGGCAACAGTGGAGAGAAGTGGATGTATACAACAGATATTGTGAAGGTAAAAACAACAAAGTTGGTAACAGATAGGATATCTGGGGTTACAAGCAAAGAGTTGCGAATGACATCTAGGGGTTGAGTGACGATGGTAAGAGGGGAGTTGGGAAAGAGAGCACTTAAGAAAGATAATGAATTCTGATTTAGATATGTTTGAGATGTCCATGAGACAATCTGAGATATTCAACAGGAAGTTGATGACATGAGAATGGAGGTAAGGAAAGAGACTGCAGCTGGATAAATAGATTTGAGAATCATCCACAGAAAGATGAAAATCCATGGGAGATGATGAGGTCACCAAGAGAAACAATACTGTAGAGGGAGAAGAGAAGACTGCCCAGGACAGAGCCTTGGAGGACAACCCACATTAATGGGTAAGAAGAGAGTATCAAGGAGAAGAGGCTGACAGACACTGTAAAAGACTACAGAGAGGTAAAGAAGGATGAGGATTGAGAAGAGGCCATTGGATTTGTTGAAGAAGAGATCACTGGTAACTTTGGAGAGAGGAGTTTTGAAGAGGTGGGAAGCCACACTGCTGAGGGTTCAGAAGTGCAAGAGGAAGTGAAATCACCTAGTGTAGACTGCATTTAGTCTTTCAGGAGAGGAGACTATATATAGGATGGTAGCTAACAGGGATGCTTACTTAGATCAAATGAAGGTTTTTTGTTTTTTAAAGGGTAGAGGACGTATGCAAATATCTGTAGGCATGAGGGAAGTAGCTGGCAAATAGAGAGAGGCTGAATATTAGTGACAGAGTGGGGATGACAGAGGGAAAAATTTGCTGGAGAAGATGACATGGAAAGGAATCAAGGATATAAGTGGAGAGGTTTGCCTGGACAAGGAGAAAGGCTACCCTTCTTTGAGATAGGTAAAAGAGAGACTGAGAAGAAGACATCTGAGTGACATCAGATGAGGGGAAGATGGAGCTTCTCAGTAAATGATCTCGATTTTTTTTTGGTGAAGTATGAGGCAAGTATAAGGCCATCAGATGGGTGAGTGGGAAGAAGGGGTTCCATGACAGAGAGGTTGGAGGAGGAATGTAAAGGGTTTTTTTCCAATTAATTAATTTGTTTTTATTTTTCAACATTTACTTCCACAAGATTTTGAGTTCCTAATTTTCTCCCCATCTCATTCCTCCCCCCACCCCAAGATGGCGTGCATTCTGAATACCCCTTTTCCTAATCTACCCTCCCTTCTATCACCACCACTCCTTGTCTTATCCACTTCCCCTTCTATTTTCCTATAGGCAGGATAGATTTCTAAACCCCACTGCCTGCATATCTTATTTCCCAGCTGCATGTAAAAACAATTTTTAACATTTGTTCTTAAAACTTTGGGTTCCAAATTTTCTCCCTCCATCCCCACCCACTGTCATTGAGAAGGCAAACAACTACTTACAGGTTATACATGTGTAGTCATGTGAAACACTTCCATAGTAGTCATGTTGTAAAAAACTAACTATATTTCCCTTCATCCTAACCTGCCCCCTGTTTATTCTATTCTCTCTTTTGACCCTGTCCCTCCTCACAAGTGTTTGCTTTTGATTACCCCCTCCCCAATTTGCCCTCCCCTCTATCATCCCTCTGCTCTCTTATCCCCTTCTCCCCCCTATTTTCCTGCAGGGTAAGATAAATTTCCACACCCAACTGAGTGTGTATGGTATTCCCTCCTTAAACCAAATCTGATGAGAATAAGATTCACTCATTCCCTCTCACCTTCCTCCACAGGAATGTAAAGTTTTTAAAGAAACACAAGGAAAATAATTAGTAACCCAGGACCCCTCGGGAAGACCTGCCAACTGAATCACACATTCCAGTCCTTAAAAGATGGCAATGACAGCCCCATTGATAGCTCATGCTGACAAACATGAAACTTTTCAAAATTATTAATATACAACTGGAAAAAACAGCAGTCTGGTATAACAGAAAGAACACTGTCAGAGTCGGAGGCTCTGGGTTTGAACCTAAGCTATGCTACTACCACCTTGGTGACTCTGAGACAAGGCACTTCAATCCCTGGGCCTCAATTTCCTCATCTGTAAAATGAGGCAACTGGGCCAGAAAGTCCCTCCCTTCTAGTTTGAAAACCCTACGATTCTCTAACCTAGGTCTTACATGAAGAGACAGGAAGCTGAGACACAGGTTCAGAAGAAGAAAAAAAAAGAAGAGAGAAAAAGACTTCCAGGAAAGCAATAGCTCCATTTCCAAATCTGTTATTGGGAGCTGATTACAAGTACCAGTAAAACATTAAAGGAGCGTCATTACAAACTCTATACCCCAGGCAGAGACCCCAATTTAAGTCATTTGGGAATACTTATTCCAAGTATATAGGGAATCAAAGCCAAACATCTCTAGATCAAAATGACCACCATCAAACATTTATCAAGCACCTCAGGCTATTATTGTAGCTCTCTCTGTACCAGGCCTTCGTGTTCTCTCTCATGATGAAAGGGCAGAGGACCTACAAAGAGATCCTGGGTTTCACTGGCACTGATGATTTAGAGAGCTTGAGGTTGAGCTGTATTCTCCACAAGGCCCCTAGACTCACAGAGAAGCACTGAGGACCAACACTGATACCCAAAGCTCCAATTCCTTAGTAGGGGGACTAGAAGGACATTTCTAGAGCAATCTCAGAACACTTGTGCTAGCTGAAGCATGCCCCCCCAACACCTCCTTCATTAATGCTGAATGAAGGGATAAGCAAAAAGCAGGAAACAACCATTTTAACATATATACAGCAGGAGCTTTTTACTTAAGAGTGGGCATCCAAAAATCATTTAGAGCAAGAAGCACCTTAGATGTGACTTTGGGTAACCCCTTCATTTTACATATAAGGAAGCTAAGTCCCAGGGAGGTTTAACAACTTGCCGACTATAGGAAGGGGTTATTCTTAAACGAAAAAAGGATAACTCTTATTAGATTGGGGGAAAAAATAACAAGAAGGATATTTTAACAGTTCATTAACATTTGTGAAGTGCTTTATTTATACACCTTAACTCATTTTGATCTTCATTATGATCTTGTGAGGCAAATATAACAGGTATTTTTATACTCAATTCACAGATAAGGGCACACAGCTAGCAAGAGCTGGAGGTAAGATCTGAATCCACATTTTCTGAACTCTAGCTTCAGCACTCTAGCCATTATACCCCCTGCCTCCTCCAGAAGACAGGATGAGCAGAGGTGGGTGTGATGAAAATAGGAAGTTCCAGTCAAATGTACATCCTCGAGCTTCTCAGTAAAATAGGAAGTGAAGTCATGGGCAGCTGAAGGCCAGGGAGGCATCAGGGGTTTTCCATGTCACCCCAAAGAGAATGAAGCAATTATAGTCACTTAAGAGATAACTGGGAAGTGATTGATGTGGCAAAACAGAACGTACCAATATATATTTTTTTAATTCCTTACGTGCTTAAAATTATTTCTTAGAACTTCTACCCTCAGAACTGGAATCACTTCTCTCATTTTACTGCTTAAAACAGAATTCAAAGAAAACTCAATGACAGTTTAGCGTGTTAAGTCACTTATACACTGTCTTGCTGAAGTCAGAAACTCCTGTTACAACAGACCTATTCTATTTTCTTTTCCCCAATGAAGTCCTGGGGCCTCATTCCCAACAGAACCTTCTCTTGCAACAAAGAATTGCAGGGATGTAAAACAAATTAACACACTGGCCAAGTCTAATGACATAGGCCTTATTGGCATGTACAGCCCAAAACCCACTTCCTCAAACAGACCCTTTTCTGCAAGTAACCAGGGTACAGGGTCCAATGCTCAAGAGCTTTGGAATTCATTTAATTTTACTACTTTCAAATTGAAGTTTGAAGTCATTTGTGTACCAAGTGCATTTCTGGTCTGGTTAGGGCTCCCAATGATCAATCACAAAGAGCTAAGGCATTAACACATTAGCAGAGAGAAAAGAAGCCCGGTACTGACCCTGCTGTTTCTTGTTTAGTTGAGAAGGTCTTAATAACTCCAGCTATGCAATTCCTTTGCTTAACCTCCCCCTAGCTATGGCAACATTCCAAAGAGAGGCATTAACATAAATATTGTCTTGGAACTGAAGTCAAAGCACTTATTATAAATGCGGCCCAGTTACTGGACGGCTCCAGGAAGCATTACTACTATATTAATTTGGAATATGAACAGCATAGTATAATACAGAAAGTATTTTTAAGACAAAAAAAAGTCAAAGGTTAGAAAGAAGACAATAGCAGCATTGGGGGCCCTTCCCCATCCCACCGGTAATATTAAGAAATAGGACAAGTACTATTTACTACTTTTTGTTCTGGGGGCAAGACTGGGAGGAGGACAGAGAATGGCCTATAATTATTAATAGTACTCCACCCATCAAAGCACATTACTCTGATTAAGTACACATTGAAAAGAGACTAAAACAATGTCTCCAACTGATGGAGAGCTGGGTGTTCCACTTTGGAATCCGAGTGCATTCCATTCCAAAGTAAAAAGCCAATAGGGGGAATGGAAGCTGCAGAACTCTCCTAGTTTTTATTACTGAATTCTTCCTTCATGCTGTCCATGCAGTCTCTTCTCCAGTTTATCAGTTGCTGCCATCCTATGTTAGGGTGTAAGAAGTGCCTCTGTTCTGTTGAATGTCTAGCACAGACTTTCAAACAGACACTTGCTCAGTCATAATTTAAGCCAAGAAGGTAATTTTTTTAAAAAGCTTATTTTATTTCTCCTCCCAACTACATGTGTCCTAGAGGAAAGGCAGAGTTTTCAGTTGTATAGAGTTGTAGTCGGTTTCGGGTTGTTTTTTGGGGGGGGCGTGAGGGGCTGCAGGGATATAGGAAGTCACAGGATTTAGAGTTGGAAGGAACCGTAACAGAGCTAATCCAACCCCTTATTTTATACATCCAGACCCCAGAGTAAAAAGAGGCCTTAAGGGTCACCAAGCCCCTTCTTTTACAGATAAGGACACTAAGGTCCAGAGGGGTAATGGCTTGCCCAAGGGAACAGAGACAGTAAGTGGCAGAGCTAGGATTTGAGCCCAGGACCTTTGACCCCCAAACCACTACCCCTTCCACCATACTGTGAGGAAACTGACCCAGGGAGGGGAAGTAATTTGTCCCAAATCACATCATTACCAAACCAAAGAGCTGGTATCTAAACCCAAGTCTTCTGACTCAAGTCCAGGGCTCTTTCCACCACAAAGGTCAGTGGACAGACATGTGAAGGTTGATTTCCAGTTCTTGTTAAGCCTAACTTACCACACACGTCAATGCAGAGTAAATGTTAACTGAGGATAATGAACTGGGGAATAATGATTACTAGCTATGTCAAGACTGGAAGGAAAAGAAGACAGGGCAAGGGGCAAGAAGGTGCTAATTCATTTCTAATTACACATATTGGTAATTTAGCCTCCTTGCAAATGACTCATTATGCCCACAGTAAAGAAGTTATTATATATGAGGTCAAGAACTTTGTCTTGTCTCAAGTTTGATTATCCCCCTAGTGCCTTGCATGGTACAAGCTTTACTCTTTGCTGAAAGAATGAATGAGCTCCCAGAAAACCTTTAAAATAGCTCCTAGCCACAATGCTTTTGGTGTTGGCACTGATGTCAGTTAGCAATCCCAACCCACCTACAACCATTTCCAGGGTACATTTACCGATTATACCCACCACCTTTCCTCCCTTACAGATCATGAGAACATCTGCCATAGTGGAAGGAATGATCCACCTGGAGTCAGAAGACCTAGGTTCAAATTGCGAGCTGCCTACCTCTGGGCAAAGCTTACTTAACTGCTCTTAGCTTCAACCTTCCAAACAAAAAAATGGGAAATGTTTACAATCTCAGTTTTTTTGGTAAGGAAAACATTTTGTAAGCTATAAAATATTATATAAACATGAGCTGTTATTTTTGCTTATTTTAGGGAATCCTGATCCTTTGTGAACAACTAGCCTCTTTCTCATTCATGTGACAGCCAATCAGTGAAGATGCTTATTTTCTGTTACAAGACAAGAATACTCTTCCTAGGAACTATCAAATGCAGATGTGCAAGTGACCAAGTGTTTTCAAACATCAAGATAATTTTTTTGTTTTGTTTTCCTACATTATTAAAGTGCAAAAGGTAAATACCAACACTATAACTTGGGAGGGGTTAAGGGGCACAACATGTCAATTTATAAAAACTATGAACACATTGAACAAAAGCATTGTGCCAGGCAGTGGAGCTACCAAAACAAAAATAAAAGATCCAGGCCCTCAAAGAACTTATCATTCCACAGGGGAGGGGAGATTTAGAAAGCAGAAAACAGGCCAAGGTTCACAAAGGCTGACCTACAGTAGTACATCTACACTAAAAATGAGAAACCCCTGAAAGGTGAGCAGCTAACATGCTAATACAGAACTCTCAGGGGAAACATACCTTCGTAATGGTCTCATTAAGCAAGTTCTCACTGATGATGGAAGCAGTACCCAAACTGGTGGGAGGGGTCTTTGTTGCTGTTGCGTTCATTGGTTTCACAGGATGAGTTCTGAAAAAGAAGGAGGGATGGGGTAGGAAAGTGGATTTATTTATTTAGACTATTCAGACAAGGGAAACATCACCCCTAAGGCCCTAGGTCATGTAAGAGAAGTCATAAACAATAATCCCTTCTTATCTCCAGTCCCCAAAAGGTCCAATCTTAGATTCCTGAAAAAGCAGAACAAATCAAAACTAATCATTTAGAAGCACAGTTAAGTGCTACCCAAGCCAGGCGTTTCAACCTTTCCAAACACAGTGACCATTTCTCTAATAACATACACTGGAAATCAGTTAAAGACAGACTCTCCTCTCTCAACAGAGCCATTTCTACAAACAATTAAAGCCTAAGGAATCATCTGTACACCATGCAACCCTCTGCATCTAGAGCCTAACAGTTAGGCAAGGACAACCACAGCCAAACCAGTGTCTCATTTGGTCCATACTTAAAACAAAAGCCAAACACTGGAACAAGGGCCAGAAAAATAGGGAAAAAGGAAATTTAAAATGTTTATTATTTTTAAAATAGGACTCCTGTAAATATCTGAAGCAGTTCCTGGGTATAGCTCAGATTCTGCTCACAGCATATTCTTGCAGATCGTTTTTTTAGGGGTCAGACCTAGCTTTACAAATTGGTCCCTACAACTATTATAACTAAGGCAAAACCCAAACAAACAAACAAACAAAAAAACAAAAAAACCTTGTACTGGCTTACGTATCTGCCATTTAGTAGGTAAATTTCTAGGTATCTTCAAAAGATGGTTTGGTCTTTTAAAAGGCTAGAGTTTGGGGGCCTCTCAGGACCAAAAGCCTTTGGTGTGACACTGAAAAAAAACCAAGTATCCCACACCTCTGTAGATGATCTTCCCAGTCTCTCACCTGTGCTTGGCAGACACAGTGGTTCCACCAGTTGGCTGAGCTGGGAATGGATGTGGCTCTGAGGGCGAAACCCATGCCCGGAGAAGCTGCTTCATCTTGTCAGAATTTTCAACTTTAGCAGCCGAGCTTTCTGCTGATGTTTTTTGGGGAGATTCTGCTCTATTTGTGTGATAAGTATCAGAGTGTAGAGAGCCAGGGAAAGAGTGTGTTGCATTAAAGTTCTCAGAAAGGGAGTGACCCGAAACAGGAGAGGCCTGGGAAGATGACCTTTGACTCCTACTTTCCTCGATATGGTTAACCTCCTCCCTCCATCCCTGCTTCTCCAAACTCTCAGGGATTGGGATATCTTTATCTAAACCTAAGCCTTCCCCATGGTGTAGTTTGCAAACACCCAGTGCTGTGGTCTGCTTTGAAGACAATATGGAAGAGTTAACAAAATCTTCAGGTTTTTCCATTTGGAGGGCATTTTGTTCCTCTTGAAACAATGCGGATACCCCTGCATCAGGGCTCTGTCCCTCTGACAGGCTCAGGTTTTCCTCCTCAGAAGAAGTGGCTGATGAGCAGAATGGTGTTTCCTTTTCCAGATGATTCTTTGAGGTTGGAGTCATTCTGACATATTCCAACTGTTCTACTCTCTCATCATCTGATGTTACTTCTGGAATAGAAGGAAGTGTCAGGTTCAGATCCCCCATAAGTGGAGATCTGAGATCTGAAACCGAATCAAAACTTCTCAAGGGGTCGGACAGCAGGCCTTCAAGATCGCTGGCTTTGCTCTGATAATTCTCACTAAAATTTTCATAGCGCTCAATCCTGAATAATGGAGTGGCCTTTTCTGATCTGGATTCCCTCAACAGATCTTCTGAAGAATGCTTCCCATGAGACTCAAGCATCAATACACTACTGACAGGTGGATCAAAGGAGAGAAAGAAGTCAGTCAGGGAAGCTGGCTCATCATGACTGAGTCCAAAAATAGCCCCTGATCCTGATTTGAGCGGTAAAGAAAGACTGTTTGGTTCAGTTGTCATCTTTTTCTTCTTAATTTCCTCTGGTTCTCTGTCAAATAATGTATCATTCACTACACCTTTAGACTTCAGCTCTAGAAGTTTGTTTTTCTCCTTTTCTACCTCCTCTTCTGGAAAAAGCTCCTCAGAAAAGGACACACGCTTCTTGATCTTCTTGCGGCCCTCTCTAACATGCAGACCAGTTAAGTTGTTTTTTCCAACTACAGAGTCAAATGGTGTGGCCAAATCTTCCATTTTACATGGCGATTCAGCTCCTTCATTAGCAGAAACCACTCCAGGATCACTGACTTGGTCTTCATCTTCCAAAGATGACCCATAAGAAGATGTAAATTCTGTACTCCCTGTCATCCAAGGCTTTCCACTCCCACTTGTGTCTTCAGTGAGAGTACTATTTTGTTGGGGGTCTTTTGATGGAGGGAGATATTCTGGTTGGCTGACTTGGGGAAATGTTGGGACCTTTTCTTTTTGTTCTTTTGGAAGGTGCTCATCATGTGCAGTTTCCAGGATCTCCAGGAAGGGTCTTGATTTCCTGCTCTCTTTACTCTTTCCTACATCTATCTCCCCAGCCTCTTCTACAGAGACTCCATTTCCTTCATGCAATGGAGAATGCTTATCAAGTGATTCCAGGGAACCAGAGGAAGCATTTGAAACTCGAACTGAACCCTCTTTTTGAGATTTCACTGCAAGAAGGAAAGGTCTTTCAGAACTGGCCAGGCTCTCCTGAGAAAAAGGCCAGTTTTCAATTGGAGTAGAGGTAGAAACAGGATCTATGGTGGGAGGTGAGAAAGAGGAAAGGATAGAAAGGCTTTTTGAGGATTCTGTCTCTGACTCTTGCCCCACTTTAGAAGGTAGGGAATCAAGGCTAGAATCAGAAGTGGTGACAGAAAAGAAAAAAGAACCACAAAGAGGAGGAAGCTCGGCTTTGGATTGAGCCTCTGGAGACACTCCCAGTCTGTGAAAAGGACAAAATAAATTCTGCATGTCAGTTGCAGATGCAATCACACACACACACACACACACACACACACACACACACACACACACACTCTTGAAATGTTCCAAAGAGGATTTTTTATATTTTTGGTAACGTGATTATATTAGAAGTCAAAAGAATCTAAACATGCTAGGAGAATTGACGCCAACGCTTGAAACACAAAAGGAATATTTTGTTATCAAGCATGTCTACCACACTCGGGCTTGTCAGTTATGACGTGGGACAGAGTAAAAAATATCTTAACAGTTTCATTTAGAAGACAAATCCAGAGTCATGTCACTTGATTGTTATAGCAGTAAAAAGACATTTAAAATTCTCAAAGCATTAAAGCTGGTAGATGATAGGGCAGGGGACAGATTTGGAAAAGAAGTATGCTTTCTGTGTGTGTGTGTGTGTGTGTGTGTGTGTGTGAGAGAGAGAAAAGTGAGCAGAATCTCCCCAAAAAAAGTAATGCATAGCCCAAAATACAGAAATACTGTTGCTATGAATAAGAGTCATGCCAAGAAGCATAAATGTTCCAAGGTTAGTTAGTCTTCTTGGAACTAAACACCAAGCCAGCATGGAAGGAAATAGTAGCCCAAGGCATACTCCAGAGCAAACTAGAGTTCCTGAGGTCTTGTCCTTCTTATATCCAAGCACGAGGAAGAAATAGTATTAGTCTTCAAGAAAAATGCCCAGTTTGCAAGGGAGAACACAATTAGCACAGGTCTATGCACACAACAGCAGCAACAGGAGTTAGCTTATTAAAATTATGATTGATCCCCTATTCTCTTATCTTCCATACGAGGTAAGTCAACCCAAATCTGGAACAAACACCTATTGCTTTCCTACAACTGCCAAATTTTGACTAGGCACCTATGACTGAAAATACAGGTTAGCTTTGTACCTTCCCAGTGCCCATAAAAATTAATGGTTAAAAAAAAATCCTGCAGAGAGTAGAAAGCAAAGAAAGGGTTAGTGAGGTTCCTCTATGGGAGAAAAGCAATAGAAAGAGCTCTGTTGAGGCAGCCTGACTCTTAATGATTTTTATTCATGTCTCTTCTTACTGACTGATACCCCCACCAGATTTCTGAGTATTTTTCAATATAGGAAATTTTTTAGTATTTCAAAAATTATAGTTTAAACTTCACTTGGATGGTTTTAACTTTGCTAATCAAGGTTTACTTGGCAGAACACAACTCCTGGCCTGGTGACTGGGGCTGGCACTCATTTATTTAAATTTGTAGGCTGTACAAATTTACAAGCAGAACCAGTTAAAAGCCAAAGTCAACAAGTGTTTTCTTGATTTGCCAGTTATAAGATCTTGTGCAATCACAATCATGAGAATGAGGACCTAGAGGCTCCTTCACAGCAAGGTGTAAAGGCAATGAATGAATGAATGAATGAACAGAACTAAGACTCACCTGGGTTTGACAGCTTTGGTTTGGGGTCCCCTTGCAGAAAGAGCAGGTGGCCTGGGCTTAGGCTTGGGCTCTGGCTCGGGCTCGGGCTCGGGCTCAGGCTCTGCTCCAGACTGCATCCTGGGCACCTCCTCAGTGGGGCTCGGGATTTGCTCTGTCTTGAGACGGAGGCTGACAAGTCTTCAGGCTTCTCATCACGGTCTTTCACTGGAATTTCAACAAGTTCTGCCTCTTTTTCCTCTGCCATGGCTTCCCTAGGCATGACTTCCTTCTCCTTTTCCTTCACCAAGATACTAGGAATGCTGCTTTCGGCTTCACTATTCTTCACAGCATCCTTTTTTCCTGTGACCAAAGACAGCAGAGAGGACTTCCTGTTCTCCTGCTTCTTGCTCTCCTTACTTTCCTTCTCAGTTTCCATATTCACAGGGGCCACATTCACATCTCCACTAACAACTGGTCTGTAGGATGGCAGAGTCAGAGATTTCAAAGACTCTTTTGGGAGAGACCCAGAAAGTTGCCATTCCGGAGACATCCTCCCTGCCTCCCCTGGTTCCTTAGAAGGTCTGGAAGACAGATTTTCTGTAGATGAAAATAAATGCTTCTTCCTAAAGCCTTGAGGAGATGGGGAGGAAGATGGGGTGCTGTCCTTTGTCACAGGCTCATTTTTGGGCTCCGGCTGCTCTAGATAAATGTGATTCCCATTGATACATACATTAGATCGGGAGAGCTGGTCATTCTTAGATCGAAGGCCACCAAAAAAGGACAATCCTTCTTTCTTAGGAAGGGTCAAGTTTATCTGACTTAGCTGCTTGATATCTGCACTTGCTGTTCTCCTGTGAGACATGCCTATGGGAAGAAGAACAAACAAGCCTTGATGTCACAAGGACACCAATCTTAACCAACTAAAGAAAGGAGATGTTATATCATGTTGCATCTATGGGCAATAGCAGATGGGCCCTCCAGTAGGACAGAACCAATCATCTAAGTCCAGGATTCAAAAACACGAATGCAAGAGGAGTGAACTGAACTTCTTATTCTTCTAAAGATGAGGTTCTTAACCTAGGGTCCCATGAACGTATGTGTGTGTGTACACAACATGTATACACACATACATATGTATTTTGAACACTATTTCAATATAATTGCTTTCCTCTATAATCCTATAGATTTTTTCTTGTTAAAAACATTGTTCTTGGAAAAGATCTATGACAAAGAAGAGGATGAGACTCTATCCTAAAGTATGTAAGTTACCTTCTAAGCCCAAATCAGATTAAAATGTAGTTGGGAAACATTTAGCACAATAAATAAAATACTACAAAACACAAATAAAGTTAATGTGTCGTTTTCTAAATAAATGTGTGACCTTCAGGGATCCTTATTTAAGGTTTAGTGGCCCTCCTTTCTGAGTTTGAGGCCACTGCTCTCTATTGGGTATACTTTTAAAAAATTCTACTGTGTTCCAGGTGGTTATTAACACCTTTAAATAAACAAACAAACAAACAAACAAACAAACAAATAAATGAGCAAATAAATAAATAAGTGTATGTGCATACACACACACATATACACACACACACACACACACACACACACACACACACATATATATATATATATATATATGTGTGTGTGTGTGTGTGTAATTTTTTTGATCCCCCTTAATTTTAATACCTTTCCTCTGTTGATTATCTCCAATTTATCCTGTCTTTTGCCTTTCTTGTATCCTCAGTGAAGGCTTAGATCAATGCTTGGTACATAGTAGGCACATAATAAATGTTTATTGACTGAATGACAGAAAAACCATCCTTTGTGTAATTGGAACAATTTCTGGGAACCATCTACTTGATCTCCTGGTAAAAATCTTCCTCTTATGAGTCCTCACTTTGCAGAGGTGACTCTGGTTCCATGAAGGCTTGATATTAGTAGAGTCAAAGTCCAAGGCTAAAAATTATGGGCTAAGGTGAGATTGTATTATTGACAAAGGTACAGCCTAGTACTCAGAGCAAGGAAGTTCATCAACACAGGATTAGTCACCAGGGAACCAATGTCCCCTGGTCATAGCAACTTGTAAAGACCTTGAAAAGGGGTGAAAAACCTGAGAACTGTATACATGTTAGGCATCCCTAGAGAAGACAAAAATCACAATCTTCTCTCAGACTAAAGGTACCAAGAGCTCATGTTATTACACTGCCAACTACTGAGCCAGACATTTACTAAGGAAACCCAGAAATAAAACACGGAAGGCTTCCTCAACAACACTACCCCAGAGAAATGCATGTAAAAGGAAGATTCTTCTTTGCTTAGAAGATTCACCTGTCTCCTCTCTAGAGAACCGGAGTGGGAAAAGTTCCACTCTATACTCAACTCCACTGTAAACTTCTTTTGTACTGAGAAGGACAGGGAAGAAGTGCTGTGAGAAGGACAATGAGACTCACTATTGGAGGGTGAAGGGGATTCGTCCTCCACATCATCTTCCCATTGGGACTGGAAGTCTTCTGGACGGAGTATCAATTTCTCAGGCTTAGCTACAGGAAGGACAGACATGGACTGGGAAAGGGGTGTTTTCTGCAAACCAGATCTAGAAAACAAGGTTTTGATCTTTGATTTCTTCTTGTTGTCTTTTGTAGAAGAGTCATCATCACTATCTACTGTGTGCATTGTGCTGGGGACGATGGCCGAGGCACTGTCAGAAGGCTCCTCATGCCGCTTCCCTTTGATTTTGTCTTTCAGTTTCCCAAACGGATTACGGGACTTATCCTTCATGGACAGGTCAAACATGCTGGCAGTCATGTTGTTTCTCATAAACTGGATGTCCACTTCAATCTCCCCTCGATCTTTCTCCTTCTTTCCTGGTTTTGATTTCAGCATATACCACCTGCAATAAAGGAGTAGAGAGGTGACCCTTACAGCCAGGGAGCCTATGAGAATCATAACTCACATCTACATAAACTCTCGATGGTTTGCAAAGCACTTTACTGTTTCCAAAAGTGAACTACATCCATCCTTCTCCTTCTTGTTATCACCCATCTCTTTTACAAATGTACTGGCATCCTGCCCCTACCCCTAGCTCCCAATTATCTGGAATGCAGGATTCTATTTTGAGAAGAAGCACACTGGGCAAAGAACATGTTTAATTCTGTGTTTAACATATTACCAACTATACTGCTGGCACTTGATAAATATCCATTCTTAAAAATCAACAAAACACAGTAACCAGTCTAGCCAGTCTATTCTCATATTCTGTGATGTAGCTAGGATAAGAGAAGAGCATAAAGGTCAAACAAAAGCTGCTTGATAAATGATATGCCACAACCTATATGCAAATCACAGAGGAAAATGAAAAGGTTGGGGAAGGAACAGTCCCTGCTGGGAAGCTTTGGAAAGTTTTGAAACAAGGTTTAAAAAAAAATGCCAAGTGATTTAGAAAAAGAACAGCAACAGAAGGTATTCATTACATTTCATTAGTAGCCTAATATTGTTGGCTCAGTAAATCTGAAGAGTATGACCACACTTCAAATGTTATCTCATTTTAAAAGTATTTCACCTGGTATGTTATGCAAAACCACTTGAAGATATACTGGTGATATTTTCTCTGAAAATAGCACTAAAAGACAAGTACACTTCCCTGACTACATAGTGAACTCAGCATGGAAAAACTTTTCCCTAAGATTCTATATCTCAATTGGGGACCTTCTATCTTTGAAAGATTTCACCAATGTAAGGCTAGATCAGTGCACTCCATCTCTATTGGATAAACTAGGGTCATGTCAGATTGATAACACAGCCTGTGGCATTATCCCCCCTCGTGCAAATTTGTTTATTTAAGCATTAATAAGGTAGCCAGCAACCCTGAAAGAAATAAAGTCAAGATATTTCCCTAAACCATCTCCCAGAACATTTTTCATTAGTCATTTCTGGCAACCTGGTACCTAAAATGGTGGAGATAAAAGCACAAATTTTAAGAGAAACCATCATGACGGAATGGAAGAAGCCCTGGCCTAAGAGTCAATAAAGCAAGGTTAATTAGGGCTCTGCCTTCAAACTCCCTCTGTGTGGAATGTTGGACAGGTCATTCGGGGCCTCTAAATTTCTGTATTATCCGTAACTGGAAAAGATAGGAGTTGTGTTAGAAGATCTTCAAATTATAAATTGTAGAATTTTAGAGTTGAAAGACACCTTAGAGATAAAATAGTCTGATCCCTTATGTCTAAGTTTCTTTTTTAATGCTAATGCTCTACTCAAGGCTAAAACCATTAATGTTTCAAATCTTTCAGGTTAAGAGAGAGTCAGATTTAAACATTTCATGATGAATAAAAAATGCAGACCCAATTTTTTTTTAAAGGTAAAGTCTAAAAGAGGTAGAGGGAATCTTAGTCTGGGTATTAGGAAAGAAGGGTTCTAATTAATATTGCCTTGGGAAAAAAAAATTAATATTGCCTTGGGCAAAGTCAATCAACTTTTCTCAGTCAAAAGCCCTAGACTGAATGAATTCTAAGATCTTTAATGGAGCTAAGTTCTATAACTCTATAATTAAGCTCAGTTAAATGATATCTTTCTGTGGTTCTCCTTAAAATGAGGTGGGCTACCCAATGTGGACAGTCTAGGAAACTGTGTGGTTTTACACTACAGCCTTCATTTTCATTATGCTGTTGTCTTCAGGAAGCAGTGCAATTTAGCACAAAGCACCCTGGACTAGAGTCAAAATATCTGGAGTTCAAGTACTGGGTCTTCAAATTAGGAGTGTGATTCTGAGCAAGCCAATCTCTCAGAGGCTCAGTTTCCTCACCTATAAAATGAGGACAGAAATGTCTGTTCTGCCTGCCTCACAGATGGTTTGTGAGTATGATGAGATGATGCATTTAAAAGAGCCTTGGTAAAAAAAATTTTCCATCCAAATGTCTAAATTCATCAGTGGAGAGCACCTTACCTAGGCCCTTTGACCACTGATGGTATCAATGTGCAGGTAAGACAAACTTTGACTCTTTAGACATGTTTCCTCTGTAGGTTAGGGGCCTCTCACCATATAGCCAGTTTGTGTCAGGGGTACCGTTTGAGCCCAGTTCTCCTGGACTCCAAAAGGGTTCTTCTATCCACTGTACCAAATAATGCATATTTGAAGTTGCTAAAACATCACGATAATGACAATGATGATTTTTCACTAGATTCAGGCCTCGTAGCTCATATCTTTTTCACACATTCCTTCAA